CTACTACTACTACTACTACTACTACTACTACTACTACTACTACTACTCGTGAATCCGAAACAATGTCTGAGCACCATCAGTTCTACAAAAATTGAGGAAAAGGTACACTGTGCACACAATTGAAAAAGCCTTTTCAGAAACTCTGGATTACTTTTGGCTAATGGGGCCGATGGGGCCGTATTGGTCCTGCAGTATCTTCTAGTATGCTTGAGCCATCTTTGGAAGCAACATAGACCAGCAAGGCGCCAACCGCGTTTGGGATGAACACGCTCTGCTCATGGGAGGCCAAAGGCCACACTCATTCGGGGACTATCCGAGCTCCCGATGGCCCCATTGTGGCTGCAACTAAGGCCATCTTTCTGAGAACAAACACCCTTTTGGCATTTCTATGCCATCGTTTTCGCTGGAGGTAGGACGCGTGCCCTCCTTGTGTTTTTGGTGCTTTGCGATTTCGAAACTGTCGAAGGGCACACGCCTTCGTAACCGACAAGGGGGTCGTTGGCACACCTCACATACGAAAGTCCTACTGGAAGGATAGAATATAAGCTGATTAAAAGATCGGGACAGTGGACATGAATCACATGGCCCCCCTGGTTGTCCAAGCACTTCTGTCCTGAATCGATTCACGCCTTTGAGAGATCTTCCTGGTGACGGAATGGGTGGATGTGATTGAATTCACACCAATCACAGGTGTGGTGGCAGCGCAATGGTGGGCCAAAACAAACCGCCCCAGTACACGCATATGTCTTTTCTTTTGGGTGATGTGGTTTCTTCATGGATCAAAGTAGGGCCGATGTCCCCCCCGTCATCTTTCAGCGAAAGTGAACAGAAAGGTCTGAAGCTGGACAAAACTCACTTTGAGCGCCACAAATCAAACGCTGCGGCACATCTAGCTGCCTTGCCCGCCTACCGCGCACGCGCCACCGCGCCGCGGAGGCGGCGCCCTCGACGGCCCCCGGTTCCACCCGCCTAGGCGAAGCAGCCTGAAGCCACGGATCACCAAAAAGCTGCTGACGTTGGCGGTACTACCTGCGGCCACAGTTCTACAAAAAGGTGGTTTGAACCGGTGTGAGGCGGAAGGAGCAGGTGGGTTTACTCAGTTTACTCGTTCTGATACCAGGGTTGTTTTCATTATTACTCGCAGTCACACCCCTTTTGAGAGCCAAGAAGAACCAAACAACACCCACACCCACCTGACGCTTGCTGCAAGTTTGCCTGTTTGGTCGCTTTAGCAATAAATTGTCAACAACCTATGCGGTAGGCGGTAGTCCGAAACTGCGCTTGGCAACGTTGCACGATCTTGTTTCCCTGAAACAGCAAGAACCTTGTTGAACAACGTTTGACTTAACTGGGATCTGCAGTTGTGAAATGTTGTGAATTCTGAATAGATATTCTCTTCGGGGTGTTTTTTTTGTGGCAAGCAAAGACAAGCAAGACCGTCATGTCACAATCATGTCAAGTGGCTGTACATGATGATGCCCACCAGGCTGCTCATCACAATGATCCTGCAAGTTCCCGGACGCGAGATGACACCAGAAACCAGTTGACTGCAATGTTTAAGAAATCCCGGCGCTACTGGAGGAACCCGGGAGAGATGGGGCACTGGTTAAAACATACACACGCTCACTATTTGTTTGTCAATTTCCCTTGTCCCTGGTGCAGGATTTATTCCTCTAACTATATGATGCATTATATGATGCATAACATCGGCTCAATTACAATTGACACGTGGTATGGCTGCACAATGACGTCCACCAATCCGCGAAGGCGTACAAGCGCTTGCTGTTCATGTCCAGCAAACACCACTTCCGATCCTATGTGTTTTGTGTTTTTCTATGTCAGTCTCTGACAAGAAGCCAGTTACAAGCTGTCAGTCTTTGAACCATCCCAAGTTCAGCCAAGTCACAAGTCCATGAGAAACCAAGGGTCTGCGAAGCTGGCATAGCCAAAGGCAAGCACTCGGACCATCAACTCCTGGCCGTCTGCCACCCACGCGCAACGCCGCTGCGCAAGGCTGCGCAACAAAGACAAAGCACATCGACAAAGCGATGCCCAATGCTCGACAGGTCAGTCGACAGGTCTGCCCGCTCCATGATATAGAAGGTGAGGAAGCTGATTTCGATACCAATGGGCCATTCGCCTTGCTGGTGAGAAACAACTTGGTATATGGATGTATATGGGGCAACGGTTCAGACCAAACCCTGCAACTCTTTGTACTTCAACAATCTGGTGCAAGTGGCATCGATCCTTTTGTTGTGAAAAAGGGTGTTTGCAACTCTCTGAAAGGTTATTCTTGTTGTGGAATGTTGCTTGGCTCAAGTCTTCAGGACAGTCCATCTCTAACCTCTGTGCGTGAAGCCCATCTTCAGCGGTCAACAGCTACTGCTCCCTTAAACGGAGAAGTGTGGTGTCAAGCATGAATAACAGGCACCCCAAACAGCCCCACATCTCCAACCAAGCTGCCCTTAGGATCTGGTAGCAAGGAGTGCTCAATCTCCTAAGTTCACAGTCTGCACACTGAAACTCACACATGGGCCAAGTGAAGCTGCGAGCTGCGAAGTTGCCCAGTGGTAGCTGGGCAGAATATTGACTATGTCATGTAGAAGACCAATCTTGAATTCAAAAGCTCTCACACGTTGACATTGACAAGAACAAAGGTCACTACTGAAAATCGAGCAGGGACAACAGAAGGCCACGTGGTCTTAGGAGAACTGGAGATTCTGAAGGCCAAGTTGCAAAGCCTTGTATGATGAGGTTGGTGAGAATCATGACACCTGCAGGTGTGAGTGAAGCATTGCGCTACCTTGCAATGTTGACGTCGCACAACGGGTCTCGTTGTGGAGCTAGATGTTCTGCACCAACGGGTCTCATCTACTTGAGACACAGCACAAAGAATCCATTCCTTTTTCGTCGACCTGGACCGAACCATCTCGGGATATTTCATCAACACTTGAAAGATCTATATACTTACTTCATCTTACTTCTTGGTGACGATTTGACCCAAAACAGAAGCTCTAATTGGTTTGAATGAATGGATAGGTCTCATAGCTACACGGTCACCCTTTCACCTCCTTGGTCACCATCCAACTTCAGCCGCGGTGCCGACAATGGGTTCAAAAGCAGGATGCCGAACGACCTGCCAAACTTGAATCGTCTCAGGAAAGCGAACAAATCGATCACACTCAACCACCCAGCAATTCAACCAACAATCCAACACCACCAAGATCACTTGAACATCAGCTTGAGGACTCCGTTGTGCTGGACCAACAAAACAGACTTGAGTGACTTGAGGACTCCGTTGGACTTCGCTGGACTCCGTTGGACTCCATTGGACAGTGCCTTCCGGGCACATTGCACCACACGACTCTTGGCCAATGGGTCTGTAGTTCTGCGCAGCCGCTGAAGGAACCTGTGCTGGAGGAACCCTTCCGGTCAGCGAAGGTGCAGTTGCATAATTCCCAGCGTCTGGCAGTGACTCCCAAGCAATAAGGCTGAGTCCTTTTCATTTGGGTTGAAGTGTCTCCTCATTTCGTGAGAAGCCCAAGTCAGGCTGTATGAAAACAACTCCTTGCCTTGCTAGCTCCTCTTTCTCTGGAACACTGTCCACCACGAAGCAACGTAGCATCTTCATCCTCAACCTCAAACCCATGTCCTTCCATCCCCTAAGACATCCCCACCCCAACATCCTCCGTCCATCTTGCTCTCTTCCCCCAGCACCTCTCGCAGCTCTCCGCCCCCCTTCACCGCCATCAGTCCTCGCTTCTTCCGAGCAACGATGCATCAAGGATGCCCTCCGTCTCCAAGGTGCCCAGCACATCTCGGTGGAGCGAGCGGTGCTCGCCCGCCGCGATGCCATCCCTGGCCGCCGCGCCACGCGGCGAGAGATGCCGCCACCGGCGCCCAGAAACGTTTTAACTGGCCCCACCCGGTGAGTCATGATCCACCACTTCGTTAGCGGGTAACATGAGTCATGACTGGACTTCCAAGCAAGGAGGCCGGATCGGTGGGGGGGATGGTGGTGATGGTCCCAGCTGGACCGCGTCACGAGCCCCGGTTCGGAGCGTTTCGGTTCGGTGCCAGGTTGCCCAAAAGCAAAAAACCGCCGTGCAAAAAGCTGCCGCGAACACGATCCCCTGACTAAAAGGCGCGGCCTCAGTTTGTTGAAGGCGCCGTCCTGGACGAGGCGACTTGCTTCGAAGAGGGAAGAAACACAGTTCAGGAATTCCTGGTTCTTCAAGTGGTTGGCCCCCATTTTAATGGTCACTTTGCAGAAGCTGGAATTCTTGCTGGTTATACCTAGATCTTCGTATGAGGCACTTTTCCAAAAAAGTTGCCTTTTACCGTACGGCGGCGTAAATTGTAAAGCTGCGGCGTTTCTTGATTTTGCGGCGGCGTTTTTTGTAATTGGCTCGAAGTTGTATAGTTGGGTGATTTGTGCCCTTCGTTAGGTATAGTTCGGTATAGTCGTGTCAAACCCCGAAGGTTGATGAACGCACCCCAAATGTGTGAACTTCTTGTCAACATACCGACCGGTAACCTTTGGGAAGATGCGGAATTGGTGCAGTGCTTGAACTATGTTTTAGCTTCGAAACGGCTAGTCGTTCCGGAAGAGTACCAACCAGTGTTTCATAATTTGTTTTCGTGCTTCAGAGCTCCCTGAAAGAGATTGATAAGCATTCAACACAAAAATTGAAATTAGGTTCTTGAGTTTCATACGTGTTGCGAGAAATTTGCGAAATTTGCCGGAAAAAAATGGCGGCGTAAATCCGCGTATTGGCGGCGTAAATCCACGTAATGGCGGCGTAAATCCGCGTAATGGCGGCGTAAATTCCCGTAATCATGTTGGCAACATTTGTCACCCATGGACCACTGAGATTGCTTGGCTTATCAGGGTGTAGCATACACATGAGCACAAAGACTCTTGTTAGGAGGTGGTCAATTGTCAGAGCTTGCACAATGACCTTGGAGAATGAGCCTGAGTACCAGAAGTTTGGTATAGTTGGTAAATTTGGCAATGGGAATCGTAGAGCGGTCAGAGATTTGGGGTTGCGATGACGTTATCGTGGAGGTGAGTGTGAGGGTTTGGTCTCTACCTCGTGTTACTTGGGGGAGCTAACTGAGTATCCTTGAGCCTGGCGTGGAGGAGACATGCACCATCCTTCCCCATATATGGAATGTGGCGTTTTGTTTTTCTGGTGGCTTTTTTTTGGATGACGGCAATTTTCCACTCTGGTGGCAAATTTTTTGGCCACAATGGAAAGCGGCACTTTTTTTCGTCCACCAGGTGGATCTAGGTATGCATGGGTCACAAATATGTTGGCCTTCGAACTTCAGTCTTTCCATTGGTCCCTCCGAGCCCGACCAGTACCTCTCGTGAATTCCTTTCATTCGCAACCACCACACTCCAGTGCTATTCGACTTGTTGGTTGTGCTGAACAGTGTATCCACAGAGTCACGGCGGTAGGTCAAATGAACATCCATCGACGTGGTGCCCAGCTTGTTGTGTTAGCAAGACTCAAAAGCCTAGAAGTACAAGGAGGATGTGTCTGTCTTGCCTTCGTGCACATTTTGTTCCTTCTAATTCTTGGACGGCTGACAGCAATGGATGTAGTGAGGAATCTACGTGGGTTTCCGACCTGCCCCCCTGAATCACTGCCCTGCCTGCAGAGTTGGCACAGTCGCCTCCGAAGGGATTGGGGCAGGCACCTGGCGGAGACAACTTGCATCAAACGCGGAATCGTGGCTCTGTGTCTCCATTGCCCTCCTAATCTCCTGTGATCTTTCCTGGGTCCTACAGTAAGTGAACATCAGTGGGCCAAACCTGGTCAATTCTCCGGCTGAAGAACTTGAACTGTGCCCTTTTCGGAACCTGAATTGTTGGCACATGTTGACACAGCCCTGCTTCGAAAACAATATCTTCTTAAACCGTTGTTCCATTCCAAACAACATTTACCAACAGAGCTGTTACCATTTCGGGTCTCGCCAGTCTCCATTGTATTTCATTTCCCAGTAGCACCTCTGTCTGCAAGGGCTCTTTCACCTGGCCAATATGGAAAGACTCACTCTGATGCTGTGATGCATTTGCCCGTCAACGGGGGGCGATCGAAAACAATACATTCCACTGTGTGTGGGATTTGCCTATTCGAAGGGATCTACAACCATATGCGAATATAGAGGGGAGACAATACGCGGCTCCTCAAGAGGCGCATGTTGGTGTTTCTTGAATGTCCTAACTAAACGTCTCACTCCAGGCCAGTGACCAGTGAGCGACAGACCCTTGCATTGCTTGTGGGTTGCCAAGCGCCAGACCCCCGGCCTCGTTGCCAGAATCTTTGGCATCAAGGATCGCCTCGCGGGGTCGCAGGGGCCAGTTGGCACCAACAGCCCTACAGTTTGAACCGCTTTGCAAAGTACTCCTTTTCTCTTTAGATCACCTCATTGTCCCACATGTCCCAAGAAATTATGCCAGCATAGGCCCCAAGCAGCTTCAAAGCGATTCGTTGGGACCAATATTAATCAAAAACGATTTCTTGGTCAGAGCAAATTGCTTTATCAATGATTTTTGTTGGCATCGACATCGCTAATCGTTCGGAGCAGGACAAGACAAGACAAAGGGAGGACGAGACACGGTCACAAAGCCCGGCCACAGAGTTCAGGGTCGCGGCCAGTCAGTGTGTCCAGGGCTGGTCAGCGCGGCCAGAGGACAAGAGAAGGACAAGAGGAGGACAAAACCCGGCCACAGAGTTCAAGGGCGCGGCCAGTCAGTGTGGCCAGCTCTTTTTTCCTAAGGTAGAACCCCAACAGTAAACTGTTTGGCGAGAAAGGAAACCTCAATAGACTATATCATGATTAAAAAAGATCTCCGGCGCTGAGTAGAAAACCATCAGAAGCAGCGCCTCGTTGACTGTGCATGCCCCTCCTTCGTCTGTGTCGAAGGCCACCTGTGCACAATCGCGATCGGCACCGAGGATGCACTGGGGACGTGCTCCGCGCACGCAGGAGGCACGCACCGGGGAAATGTGTTTGTCATTTCTGCGGCAGGGGCCAGCGATCTTTTTTGCGGGGTGACATCCTGTTAGGAGCCGAACTTGGCTGGAAGAAAAGGATCCGCCCCCCAAAAAGGAGAGGACCTAAGGGAGGCTTCCCTCGACTACAAATGGGTGAGCATTAGAATATTGAGACCCCAAAAGACCCCTGGCAAAATCAAGAAACGAGGGTCTTCCTATTCCAAGACACGTCCATCCTTGGGGTGTTGCAATGTAAGTCTAGTCATGTCTAGTCCTTGGAACCTTCACCATCCTTCGCCGCAAAGCGGCCTGCCCTTGAGACAAGCGTTGAAAGAGCTTGTCGATGGTGGTCTGCAGGACCTGAGCTCGCTTCACTCGAGTCGTCACACTCGAGCGACGAGGACTCGAGTCCCGTTGTCGACTCGTCCGTTGTCGAGCCAGATGCACGAGGACTCGTGTTCCAAGATGGGCAACACGTGAACGCAATTGTGCGAATTGAGCAATGCACGCAATCCTTCCCAAAAAGCTGTTCCACATCAGGTGAATTTCTTCAATGAGCCCACCTCAACACATGTGACATGTCCCGAGAAAATCTCTGGTGACTCCACTTCATAAAAACATCCTTGGTGAAAGTTCAGCCAAGAGGCTGCCTGATGCGCTTCAACTTGATGAAGTCCACTCAAGGACCTTCTTTGCAATTCCTGAATCCTCAACAGGAAAGTCCGCCCCCCCCTTTGCAACAACATGTTCATCGAATCGTGTTCATCAAAGGACCAACAGCTTTGTCCGAGAGCACCAGTTGCTGGGCAAACCAGTACAGAGTCGGTTCTCATTCCGGATAGGGAAACCAAGCCAAATGGCGTTCGTTTCCAACATGTCAACACTTGCTGAACTGGGGCAAGAAAGAAACCAAGCCAAGGTGGATGTCTGAAATTAAACGACCCAAACAACAAAACACTGCCAAAGGCGATGAAGGAACTTCCACGCTTCTCAGCCCCAAAAAGCATGAAATCGCACACCGCTCTTGGTCACCCTGTTCGCACTGTGATAAGAGTACTTCATGCACTCCAGGATGTTGGATGGACTTGATTCATCACCCATTGATCTGCCTCCGACTGTATCCCCACCCTGGCTGTGGTCCCTTCCGTGCTTCGCGACTCGCGTCGCGACTCGCGCTCCTCTTTAGCTCATCGGACAGCACGAACATTGCACGGTCCGCCGCCATGGGGGCGGTGGAATCAGTGGAATCGGAAGAGAACTTGGGACACCAATCACCCTGGAAGTCCAGTCTAAAATGGTTGATCTCGGCTGTTCGGCAAAGGCTACGAAATCAATGGTGATTTCGTGTTTTGAACACCAATGACATGAATCTTGCGAAGGTTCGTGTAGAAAGGACATGAATCCCGATCACTTGAGTCGAAACATTCGGGTGATCAGTCCCACGCACGATCGACGATTCGATGGCGTTGAGGCGTCTTTTGAAATACATCCGAAAACGCACATATGTACTTCAAGCGCACACACACACAAGACTGCCTTGTGGACACGACACGTGATAATCAAATCTCTCCAGGTGGTCGGTGTCTGGTAAAACTCTCAGGATGGCTCTCACCTCTTATCTCTCGCCTCTTATCTCTCACCCCCCCCTCTCTCTCTCTCTCTCTCTTTCTCTCCTAGACACGAAAAGGTTAGGAGTCTGTTTTTGGCACTTCCAGCAACCTCCAACTAGGAAAGTCCATGCGCACGTGTAATGTGTTCTTTGGTCTCAGCTCGTACAAAACACCCTTGTTTGTCAATTCGGACCCTTTTGGCCATTTCGGATCTCCACGAAGTAATCTTAGAACTGCCAAAGGGATCCCGCCTTACTTTGTCCCAAAGCTTGTACAGCAAAAGGATCCACGTAGCCTCCAAAGGCCACCTGGGCTCGGTGCGTTTTGAGACATCTATGGAGTGTGCAGTTTCTTCAGGTTTACTCCTGGATGGTGCATGTTCCAGCTGCTCTCCCTCTTTTGTGCAAGTAAAAGCCCCAACGCCACCGCACCTCCAAACCCACATAGGTTAGCAGAAAGGCACCGGTCAACAACACGATCCGCGGCAAGGCTTTGGCCTGTCGATCAGCGCAAGGAACACGGTTCAGCCAGCGCCACTGGCGATCACGTCTTAAACTCCAGCCAACAAACATGGGTAGCCTACGAACAGGGGTACCTGATGTATGTTTCCTTACCAGGGGTGTTTTACCTGGGGTGTTCCAGCAGTGTGTTCTACCAATGGTGTTGCTATGATACTCTTCGAATGTATTTTTCTGGCCATCAATGGACTAGAAAGATCTCCATTGACATGTTTATATATATATATACACTTTTTTTCCGGATCTACCATCATCTCGTATCATCCACTATCAGTTACCATCATCTATGTACTGTCATTGACTCTCATCTACTGTGATCTACTATCATCTACCATAATCTACTCACATATACTATCATCTACTGTCATCTAGCATCATCTATGATCACTACTGTCCTCTACCGTCATCCACATCTACTATCATCTGCTGTCATCGACTCTCATCTATTATCATCTACTGTCATATCTACTAATAATCTACTATCATCTGTTGTCATCATCTGTCATCTACTATCATCTTCTTTCCTCTACCATAATCTACCATCACCTACTGTCATCAACCATGTTCCTCTTCCATCATCTACTATCATCCACTGTCATCTAGTATTATCTACTGTCATATGTTCAACGGTCCCTTGCATGCAAACTGGATCGTGTTCTGAGCTCCTTAGGTGCCAATAGCGAACGTCGTGCTCCGTCTTTCGTGCCGTGCTAGTCACTGCTCGTCGTCGTCTTGTCGTGGCAATCCGCCGCGCCTCGGAATCCTCGGCAGCCGTTTTAGGCTGCGGTTGAAAGCTTAGAAGCAATAAAGCGACGCAGGCTGGAGCGTAGGTGGCCACTGGGACAAACCAAGCCTGCACCACAACGCTGCGCTGGCAATTGCCTGAATCCAAATGCTTCCAACAACCCTGCATACCCCCACCACTGAGAGGAACCCATGCACCTTTCCTTTGACTTCAGCCCTCGAACTCTTGTTAGGAGTGAACCAGTGTGTTTGCCGCATGGCGTACTGAGACCCATGAAACCTGTCAAACACCAAAGCTCCTGTGAGAACGGCGAACGTGGACGAGAACGGCGAACAGGTCTTCGCAGCTGCACGAGAAGGAGACGGGAGGCGCACCCCTGGCGCCTGGACCGCATCAGCATCATGTCGCAGCACAAAGCTCACGCACAACGGGGCGATAAACGCCCCAAGTCCAAAGAGGAAGTGAAAACCTGAGACGGCGACCACCACGGAGACAGCCGTCTCAGGTCTCCGAAACACTCGAAGTCACTGACTTGGTCTTCGGTTCGCCGGCCCAAAGCTCAGGTGTTTGCGGGTATTTCGCAGCTGGTGACTTCAAATACTGACTTCAGCTGTTCCAAACAAGTGAAGCACAACACACACACACACACACTTACACACACACACACAACTTGGCACCAGGGATGCCTCATGTTGTGCCAAGCCCCTCATTCCTACGTTGTCAAACATTTTCTAGTACTTTGCAGCTCGACAAACAGTTTACCATATCAAACATCTGCGCCTTCGCATTTAGGACCTCATTCTTTCTGCACTTCACTTCTTTACGTGTTCTCTCTCATGAGGAGAAAAGCCCACGCCCACGAGAACGGATGAGAAAGGACCTCCGTTCCATCATCTAGGTCTCCTCACCATGAACGGCACCATTCACGTGCGTGCTCCCGCGCCAGACCGTGAGCATCAACACGTTCCCGCCCGTGTCAAGCCTGGACGGCCGGCGAACGAGCGAGCGAAAAGGTGTCGGCGAAGGCGAAAAGACTTCGCGTAGAGGAAGACTTCTGATCTGAGTTGATTTGCAAATGGATGATCACTGAGTGGATGATCACTTCTTTTGGGGTGGCATGGGTAACAGATGTTCATAAGGGGCCTAGATGTATGGCAAATGCAGGTTTCCAAGGCGCGTAGCTGGGGCAAACAATGCCCGGTGGTCGGTTGCCATGCCTGCTAGTCCACGTTGATCAACTTTTTAGGGGGCACTTCCGGGAGCCAAAAACAACCAAACTCCAATCGCCATGGCCCCTATAGTTGGGTACGACCCAAACCAACCGGTAAAAGCACAAACGAAGCACAGCAGGAGAAAGCACAGCAGGAGATCCCACGACACGACGTTTTGCATTCTGTGACGTCTGTGACGTCTAAACACTGGGTGTGCCAGGTGGCACCAACCAACACTTTGCGGAACCTTCGTTCCGCTCTTCGCAGGGGAGAAAAGGAACACTGAATCCCGCAGGACTCATCTCATCATTCCGAAAGCCCGTCATCCTCTGATTTGCTGTCCACACCGGTTAGCGGAAAGTGGGCAAAAGGCACACATTAATCACATAAACAAACTCCGCCCCCTTAAGGAGCTTATATTCTGAAGCCGTAGATAGCCTACTGCACTGCTGCATAGAAAAGTTGCATCACTAACTCTTCAGTGTTGCCCTTAAAGCCTTATGCCTCGTCTTTATCTTTTCTTCCAAACATTCAAACAGCACAAGAACAGTCTGTTCGGATTCGGAAATATATACCTCTCGGAAATACCACGCCGAGGCACAAGCCCATGCTGAGGCCCTGCAAGGACTGAGAGATGTAGGCTATGGGCAAATGGCGCAAGAATGGCACCTGCAAAATACAGCTGTCTGTCTGCCTGCCTGCCTGCCTGCCTGACTGACTGACTGACGGACTGACCGACTGAGGGAGCCCTATGGAGGCAGGGCTCGAAAGGTGTGTGGTTCGCTTGGGCTTTCCGGAAGTGAGGTAGGTGGTGATGTCACCAAGCCGACATGGTCATCCTCCCGATAGTCCGACAGTTATCCCTTTCGAAGACTCAAAAGGATTGCCTTCATTGTATCACAAATCTGACACTTTGATCATGAAGTACCTTCCACAAAAAAATGGGGCAACCTGACAGGGGTAGTAATGCTGATTACAAATGCAGGGTCCCACAAGCAGGGACCCCGCCCAAAACCTCACTTCTAGCCCTTCAGCAGGAAGAAAACCTTGCCCCCACAAAACGACCCAACCACTTGGCGGTCCAAGTGACGCAAAACGCGCCGATCGCACTGCCCACAGTGCCCCAAAGGAGCAGCAGTGCCGGATTCGGAGACCTGGATTGGTCGACTTCGGCAGAAGGGACGGCTTTGAGTGGAACATGGTGGAACATGAACAAAAGCATCTGAGGTACATCAGACTTTACTGGGCCATCGGGCAGTTACGGCATAATAGACCTCCACTGAACATGGAGAACTCCGCGAAGGTTCCGGACCTTTTCAACACCAACAACTCCGCGTCGGTCCAGACGAACACCATCCCGGTCCCACGTCCGTTCCGCCTGTCCACCATCGGTCCACCCACAGTGGATCCCAAAAGATAGCCGCCTGCCAGCCGCGAGGCCCGCGAGGCTGGGAGTGGGACTTCGAGATCCGAAGAAAAAGACCACTTGCGCTAGAGGAGATGTGCTTGCCTCATGTCTTTGCAAGGTTTCCGCCCTTCTGATCCCTTCGCATCTTCTGCAGGCCCAGAGCTAGACTGAATGCATGAGATTGGACAACAGATACAACGTTGCTTCTTCGCGGACAGCTTAATTGAACAGCTCTGGTCATCGACAAAGCAGATGGCCCCAACAGTCATCAGACAACCGCTGCTCTCCAAACTGACAGTGCTCCTCTCCTTGACTTCGATGGCAAAGGAAGTTCTAAAGGACATGTTTGAGGCGAATCGTTGGTTTTCAAGAGATCGACACAAACCACAGCAGCCTCAGCGCCCTCCGTGCCTGCCCTTGCCGAGAAGAGCAACGACGCCATGGTCCCAGAGCACTGGAGACGCTCGGTGAGATCTGGCAGATGCGCAACTGAAACGCTCCTTCCTGGGATTGAGAGGGCATAAACGGACATGATCCCTTTTCCAAATGTACTTCGTGTCTGTACAGAACCTGAGCTTATATAACAATGCCCTCCAAGAGTACATCTTGCAACGGGGCACACCGGGCACATTTTCAGAACACCTCTGGATCTCTCTGGGTCTCCCATCTCGGCCGAGCCTAACAGCGTCGGCCCCAACATCGCATAGCAAATGCCTCGGCAACGGCAGACGAGAGAGGACGTGATGGACACCACATCTCCACTTTCCCGGTTTCTGCTGCATGGGAAGGTGTCCATGTATTTAAACACAAACACCACTGAACATCTGAACATCACTGAACCTAAACATCCAGAGAATAGCCAGCTGTACCTTTGAAACCGTATAAACAATCATAGATACGACAAATCCTCCAGACCTTGGATCTGGATTGTGTGCAGGAGTTTATCCGATTTCATCCAACCAGGTTGACATAGCACATAACACCAGCGAAGTTTTTTGTGCCGTCAAGAGCCTAGGCCACTTCCAAAGCATGAAAAAGCAAACAATATGCAAACAGAGTCAACCGCAAGTACTTTGGAACATGACAAGCATCACAATGAATGTGGCCGCAAAGGTAATGTGGTGTAAATCCACTTGTCACTTGTCACTTTAAAGCAACACCCTTTCAATAGTTCCGTCCATTAGTCAAATGCCCACTCCGATGCAGGGGTACCTAAAGCCATAATTGTCGCATAGAGCGCGAAGGTCCACTGCCCTCTTGGCACCGATTTGGCATGGGGCGACAGCAGCGCTTCGGCATGGCTTTCGGTCATCTGCGGCTTCTTGAGTAATCTTGGCCCGCCTATGCCGCATGCAAACATGGGTGGTAAGCCTTCATTGCTCCTACTCCAGTGTCACAGCCTGACAAAGTGTCGCCCTATGCAGACTCTTGTCCTGAAAGCCAGCAGCGCTGCTGACTTTTGAGAAGCTGGCGAGTGGATGCTAGGCTGACACAACACTGCACACACTGCACAAGGCTTGGAACAGACTCAAACCCTTCAGAATTGTGAATGCAACCCTCTGTCCTGTTGATCTTCTTAAAACATGAGCACCATCTCACCAGCGTTTGGCAGTCATAGTGACTCGTATCCATAGCCATGCAAACCTCCAAGCCATCGCCTTGCTGGTCTCCCAGTCGTCTCTCGGGTTTCCCCAACGTGAAGCGGTCCAGTCCAGCTCCGGCACGAGCATAGCCGAGAGGTAGAATTCGGACCTGATGGTCCGACACTTCACAGTGCCTACCCGATGGTTTGGTTGGGGTGGTGGATGGTTGGGGGGGGTTCCTAGCATTTTTTATTGGCTAGTTAGTTTGTCCCAAGTCTCTTCTTTGGTGAAACTCTTCCCTGCCGCGCCGGATATAGGTTCAAGTCCCTGGGCGCAACACTCAGGCGGACAGGCGGGCCACTACTCCACACTGAACTTGGGAAGGAACCCGGGGAATGTGCTCCCAAGTCTGGAGAGGACCCAGGCAAGGAGGTGAGGGGCAGGGTGTGGTGAGGGGGGTAGCTGGAACGCAACACCCTCATGGTACTTTTGAACCACTCCCCAAGTCTTTCGCACCTTCTCGGGACCCATAGAATCCTATCAAAAACCACACGTGACGAGATGGAATCAACTTAGCCCATTGTTGTGGAGCAATGTTCAACAAAATCCTCCAAGTTGGCTACATGATGGTTCCCTAACCCAATTAAGCCCGAAGTCAGAAATGATAAAACCCTCGCCTTGACTTACATCCGTATGAGCAACGTGTTTTGAACAACAAGCAAAATAGAGCTTTCTGGATGCCTACAACTCCAAAAAGCCGTGGAGGAGGAGACGATGCCCTCCATCCCGACTTTTCCGCACCTTGATCATCACTGTGGAGGCTTCAAAGGCAGGCACCGTGCATGCAATCTGGCGCCCAAACGAGCTGGTTTCGTGGGTTTCCCGTGGCAAAAGATGCTTTTCAAATATTCTGGAGGCGCCGGTTTCATCGGTTTGGGAATCTTTGTGTTTTAGGGAGGTCAAAGAACTTTCTCAACACAAGAGAGACTACTCATTCATCTGGCACGAGGCAGATTCATCCTGCATTCTTTTCGTCTACTCCCACTCGAGCCGTGCATGTCTGTCAGCCCAGCTACAGAGGACCACCCCAAAGCATACTTGTTGATCTCTATAGAAACTGCAGGTCCCATGCTCAGTTTCTAGCCAACTAACCCCACCCCCTTCGACCCAGAGGCCTTTCAGCCTTCTTCCGCCCCCTTACCACTGCGACCGGCAACGACCCAGCACTGCGACCGGCAACGACCGTCATCACCCGGCGCGCCGTCAAGTCATCACCCGTCTTGGCCGTGACGTTGTGGGGGCAAACCTTGACGAGGGCATGCCGAACTGCCGAACGGCGGCATGGGGCGGGGCATGCCCCCCAAATCAGATGAAATCATGCACTTGGAGACTGAGAAGGACTCCGAAGGACCAGGTGGATCGACGTTGCATCAGTTCATCCTCCGTCCTTCTGAAAAGCGGACAGCTGACAACGCTGGTGAAAAACCACCCAGGACCATCTGAGCTGACCCGACGTGTGTGCCGAAGTGCACACTCACCACCGCGTTGCCTCATCCAAGCGCCAGAAGGGGGAGGAGTTTGGCTTTTGGACACAGAGAAAACCCAGGGCGGAGCATCATCTACGTTCGGCGAATGAGGCTTCCCAACTCCCCAAGTTACTCGACTTTCAGCCATGATCTCAAGAGGACGTATCCAAGCAGGAGCCGCCAGAATGCCCTCAACAGGTCCCTCCTGGGCTTTCGTTCCGTTCCGCCACGAAAAAATTCACACACCCACTCAGAGGCAGCACCATGTTCTAACAAAGAGGCCCCAAGCAGGTCGAAAGCCGGCTCTTCAATATATAACCGAGAGATAACGCACCAAGAGGTTGCTGATGAAGAACAAGAGCTTTGCTCACTATTTCTATCATTGTCTATCTCTCTACATGTGGACCATTTGTTTGCTTTTCGGGATATAGAAGCTACTTCGACACGTCAACTGAGGTCCGGCACTCACTGCATCGATGTAGCCACTGGGCATGCTCACAGTGAAGGTGATCATGTCCTCAGATGAGACACCATCAACGGCAACGTGGCGTGCAGGGCAATATTCTGGTTGGTTCGTCTCACAAAAGGAAAACCTGCAACTGCCAGCTTCAGCTCTGCACTCGATTTCATCCACAAAACCCTGGTCTCTTCGAGTCTCTTCCATACAGTTGGTCGGTCCCTTGCTTCCAACTCTTCTCCAAGGATCTCCCTCATTGCCGGAGATGGATGAGATCGCCGTAATGTTGGGCGTGGCGTATGCCCTGAAGGCTTTGTGGTTGCAGTCCTGCGCGAGTGGCGAAGCAGCACCATGCCAAGTGTAGACTCTCTAGACAGAACTTCTCACACTACTGAACATGTAAACCATAGCGTATAAATGCTCATGGAGATCCTCTGCATGTGAGGGACTCACATGGGTATGGGATCTGTACATTGCCTCTACTAGTCTACTTTTGTCGAGTCATCTACCTGCCGATCATCTAAGTATGAAGAAGCAAGGGAATCGCCTGAGTCACAATCTTCAATCGTTTTTCCATTCGAATCATTGTGCTTTGTACCATACCCACATGGCAAAGATCAGGGCTCGTGGGAATCTTTGAGTGCATCCCGCCCATTCTCAGCAGTTGCCCGTATGGAAATCAAAGTCCGCACCTGGAGCATCCTCAACAAGCAAATAAACAACCGATGTCTGTGACTGGCCTGGAAGCAGCGGTTTTGGGGTTCCCTTCTTGGTAGAGCTTCGGAATCCGCATTGAAGTTCTGAAATGACTTCAAGCTCCACAGAATTAGCCTATACCATCCTATACCCGTGTCCCCTGGCCCACGGCACCACATAGGGCGCTCGCTCCTCCGAGGGCAAGACATTCAAACGCCGGATCGTGAAGTTTTGCCCCATGGTGGTGGTCGTAGTGGTTCCCTCAGTCCCGACTGGGTGATCAGTGGAAACTTCCATGACTGGTCATCATGTCCGAAAAAGCCATCTTCTCAGATAGATCAAAAGAGAGGAGGTTGCTCTGAACAAGGAGACGTGCCTATATCTGGGCCGAACTGGATGCTTGTACAAACGCGTCAAACCATTTTCTCAGCCTCTTGCGGGATGGGGATCAGGGCCAGTGCCACACTTGTGCTTAGCGCTGATCAGGTTCACCATCAAATCCTCGGCAGAAATCAGATTTGTCCCTTGTCGGGCGGGAGGGAGCCAACTTCGGTCTTTCGAAAGAGTAACCGTCCCCACATGTTGAGGCAAAACCAGTTTTCAAAAGGAAAACTCTCTGCCTCTGTCCACATTGTTGTAGCGATAAAAGTTGTCCGCACTCCAATCAAATGGAGGACTCTTTCTCGTTTGTCATCACGCAACTAGCGCGCACGGCGCTGCACCAGGTTCTTTGCGCCAAGGCGCCACTTTCTCCACGTTCAGGGTCAGTTTCCGCGTCACGAAGACCACCTAATCCAGCATGCCACATGTCTCAACAACTCCTTGCACTGTCTCAACAACTCCCTGCAATGCTGGATGACCCAGCCAAGCACTTCCAAAAAGGCGATGTTCGAGCCATCGCCTTTCCGTCACCTTCCGTCAGGTCCCCCCTTGTCCGGTTTCCCTCCCCCAGCTCCGTGGCCTCGGTGTCGCTCCAGCTCTCCACGTCGCCCAGAGTGCCCAGGGCGGCGATCGTCAACTGCCCAGGCGCCCAGGGCGGAGCGCGGTTTGCGCGGTTTGCGGGGTGGCGGGGGGGATGGGGAGCACGGGGAGCTGGGATAGTTTTTTTAACTGTAATGGAAGAAGAGGATTTTTCTTGGAGGGAAGATCCTTTGCGAGATGGGGGTAAGGTCGAAGAAGGTCGAAGAGGGTGGATGGGAAAAGAGTTCTTTGGAGATTCGGAGGAGTTTTGAGTTGGTGAGGATCCTCATGGTGGTCAATTCCCAATGGCTTGCCTGTTACTTAATGCAGCAGAATTGAACAGAAGCGTTGACTTTTGTAGCATGTTAAAAATCTGCCAGAGCTTTGTTGAACCATATGCCGTAGCTTTGTGAGTTTCGTCTTGGCCAGCAGCCACGTTGGCAAGGCAAGCTCATGGACCAGCAAGTACTTCTCAGCCATCCCTCACGCATCCTCCACTGATCTACCTCCATCCTCAGCACTCACCCCACTTTAGGACATCCCACTCCCACCCATCCCACTGGGAGTCTCTCCAGTTCCTTCCAGTTCCTTCCATCTTCCATCCTCCCTCCCTCCACGGGGGGAACGCCCCACCTGTGGCGTCAGCTGCTTGTTGCCAAAGCCCACGCCCCGCACCGTCACCCGGGAGCCACCCTCCTCGCTGCCCACGGGCGGATCCACGCTGTGGATCTCGAAGCGCCTGGGGGCCGGGTCGATCGGGGTCGATCGGTAAAGACTATTAGGACACCTTAGAAAACACCAGAACACTAGGACTACTAGGACACCAGAAAGACTACTAGGACACGGAGAGTTTTACAGTTTTACCTTTTCGTCTTCCAGTCCTGCCCAACGTCTGCCGAACTGGGCTGTCTTTAGAAATCTGACACAGTTGGAACATCCAGTCAGGTACTTCAATGGTTTGTATGTGTTTCCGGTATTCTGCTCTCTTTCATTCTTGCTTTGCTCCTTCCTCCAAGCGCCAGACGTATCAAGGTAGGAGCTGTTGCGAGCCACCGCGTAGCCGCGGCTGGTCACCTCGGCACCACGAGCACCGCGAGCTCCGGCTTGAACGGATCGTCGTCCGAGCCGCTCGAAGACCGTCGTCCATTTGGAGTCAAGAAGACGTTTCGTGCTCCGTGACCTTCGTGCAGTTTTGGGGGGTCTTGGATCGATCGTAAGGTGGGGGAAATTCCGTTTTGATCATGGTCACCTGTAAATGCTAGACCCAGAGCCTCCAGAGCCTCCAGATCGGTCGGGATGGGGGAGACCAACTTCCATATGTTTGCACCTCCGCGTGGCAGTCCGGCTCTGCACCTGCACCTAAACGCCCTCGCCTAGGTTCGCCCTCGCCTAGGTTCGCCCTCGCCTAGGTTCGCCCGCCCTCTTCGGCATCCGGGCCAACAAGGTGGGCTTCTGGAAGAAATTGTGAGGCTTCACGACACCTGGCAGATTCGACCACCCACCTCCGACCCACCGCCGTTCTTCTTCGGCCGTTCGGCCCATTTTCGGACACCGCGGAGGGCCCTTCGAAGGGTGGTCATGTTCTTTGTTGGACGTGCCCAAACGAACCAAGGAGCGAAGCTTGAGTGGGATCTAAGCCAGTATTTGCCTGCTAAGTCATTCGGATTTCGCGCATGTTTGGTCAGGCATTGAACAAGGATTATCGGACTATGTCAATGAGTCAAACACACAAATGACCTCGCGCCTTGCGCTTCTCTAGCTTATCGAAGATGTGAACTCAAAATCCATTGCATCCAGCTTGGGGGTTTACAGTCTCTCAATCTGAATTCGATGGCCAGTCCCCAAGCCACAAGCCGAGTGACAGTCTTCGTTGTAGATGTCCTCCGGTTCGTTTCGCTTCAGTCGGATGCACAAAAAATGACGCCGAATTCGCTTCAAAAGAGGTGGCGTTGGGTTCGGAGAGTCAGTGGCTCCAATGAATTTTGGTAGTCCTTGGACACAAACTGGAACCGAAACCCTCAAGCAATGCACACCGGACAGACCGAAGGTGTTGAACGGCGTCCACAAAATCATGCTTTTTCTTGATGCTTTGAAGGTCACCTAGGGCCCTGAGCAGTGATGTTTTTGACATGGAGCCATGCTGTTGAACGAACGCTTGCACGCACAGTGAAACTGGCCATTGTTCGCTAGATATTGGCAAATGCTTCCAGAGCTCATGCTGCAATCAAATCTTGTCGCACAGCTGGGTATGTCTGAAAACATAAACAGCACATCTAGAACTCAGACCTCAAGTCTACACCTCCTGAACTGGATTGTGAAAGAAGACCGTCCTACTGCCACCACCACTTCGTCAGCGCCCCTTCAGAGCGCCCTCCGGTGCCCCTAGCCCTGCGGGTCCCGGTTGGCCGTACACAGCGGTGGCAGTGCCATGGCTGATCGCCTGAAGAGGTGCGATCGACTGCAAGACGGTCCGCGTGGCGCGAACTGGGTTTTGACATCGGCTCGTCCGCGTGGCGCGAATTCATGGATTCATCGTGTCGGATTCACCATGTCGGATTCACCATGTCATGAAATTGCACTTATGTCAGTGTCAGAATCCCGCCTCAAACGGGATGCATACCCACCGTGAGATAATCCAGCCAACTCTGAGACAAGCTTCCATCCACCCCTAACCAAGCTGTGGTTTTCGGACTACAAACACTTGCATCAACCAGCTGCAAGACCGCAGCAAGTCCATCCCGAATGTTCAAACCAAAACAGAACGAATTCATCTAATCCAATGGTCCATGATTCCGGACGTTCGATCATACTGAATCATGCTGTGATCTTCTCTTTTCGCCCGGTTCATGAGACCAAGGGGCTTCAGCTGACAGTTGATGTGCGTCTGATTCACGTCCCACACGTTGCCTCGAAGAAGGGCGAAGGAGAGCGCGGCGCGAAGGGCGCGAGCTGACGAGCGGAGAGCGATCAGAGGCGCGAGCGATCACGAGCTGACGGGATCCCATTGGGGTGATGGACAGGTGTCGAGCTCATTGGGGCCCGAAGTGGACATGGGGAAACACCCAACTGACCGTGAGGACGACGCCGTCCGTTCGATTTCACGGCCTCGTGCTCACCATCGCTTCGAAAGAGAGACGTTCAACACCAAAAGACTTAGCTAGGCTTGCCGAGTTGTGCGAGTTGTGAGAGCGGAGCTTCGACCCGAGTTCCAACATGTTGTGCGTACACATGGAATAAGAGAAACCCACATGAGCCCACATGAGCCCACATGAGCCCACTCAGCCATCCAGCCACCCACCCCGCCACCCACCCAGCCATACACAGAGACACACAAACACACAGGGCTTGCACCGTTTCGTCTTTTGAAGAGATAAGCCCTGTTGAAGAGATAAGCCCTGTTGATGACTACCCCTTTTGGTCATAAAAGAAAGGAAGAAGGAAGCCCATTTTGATTGGAAGTGCTGGTATGAAGATCGAGGCTGAATCGAACATTCAGATCCCGACCGGGTCCCGAACATTCAACAACGGTGTTGGATCATGGGACGTGTGATGCGTGTGATGTTGGAAGTAAGACTTCAAGTGCATCTCTGATCCCATGCCCCAAATGCTCCAAACGGACGCATCCATGGCAAGCAGCAGGTACGATTGCCGAACATCACCTGCACCTGGCAGCACAAACTGCAGCGGAGTTGGGGATGGGGTTGGCCACCATGTCACACCTGATCAGTGAGTAAGAGTTACCTGAAACAGGTACTGGAGGCCAGTCGACGGAGTCACAAAACGCCTCAGGAGAGATATAACACCTCATGAACGACCCGTCACGTTCCCTAACATGACGACTCACAGAGTTTCAAAGAGCCAACTGTCGACCCGCCACGGCTGTGTCACTCGGTGCGAGGAATGCCTCGCCTCGCGCTTCAGCAAGCCGAAGTTCATGCCAACGATGGTGAGGTTGTTGGTCAGGGCAAATGACAAGGACTTGGTGCAGGCTGGTTGAAGTGGTTTTTGGGTTCTGTGTAGGTATACCCAGTGAAAGCATGAGCTGCTAAATGTTTCGCATGAGGTACACATGCACGAAATCCTGCAACCCTCATGCTTGATTCGACCACCCTCCCTTCCATTTGAACTATCTTCCTAATCCAGCCATCCAAAGCATCTCAAGCCATGCAAGCCTCACAACATCCATCCTTAATCCATCTTAATCACACTCCAACTTCCTAGTAACTGCACCTCTTGGCTGATCCAAGGCACTTCTGGAAGGACCTCCAGCACGATGGGTGTCAACGGCCTGGAGTAGGTGAAGAGCAAATCGTTCCCCGACGAGTCCAGCGTCTGGCCGTTCACCTCAGCCAGCTGCGCGGTGGTGCTGGAAGAAACACAGCTGAGGCGAAGCGAGGGTTTGTTTTGGTAGGAAGAAACACACAACATCCTACAACCATGTCCTCAGCTCGGGCGGGGGGTCGTGAACTCGATTGAACTCGTTTGATGTTCTCTTGTTAGGTGCCCAAAACAAGTGCGCGCGCCGCGCCGCGCGTCACATAAGGTAGACTGCTGATCCATATTCCCCCCATTTGGATTGTAAGACCTCTTCAGTTATTGATATTTTTTAATGATCATCATCACGTCACACATATACATGCATATAGACACGCACCCTGCCACTCAGCTCTGCGCAACAACTTCAATTCGCTCCTGCCCGGCTGCAAACGCATTGACCCGAGGACTTTTTGCAAGGTCGAGGGCCGAAATCGGGGGAATGGATCCAACGAAGTCGGGCGGTTTTTCTTCCGAAGAGGGAAACCCCCCTCTCAGTGCTTTGAGCAGGTGTGGGTGTGGGTGCCCTGAAGATGGCTTCCATGAATCCTGAACATTGCTACCCTCTAATAGTTTATCATACTGTCGAATGCACCGCCCCCCAATGAATCGCAATCACATGAATCTGTTGCTACGTTGACCACCGCATGGTACAGTTTAAGTCACGCATTTCAACATCGGCTTGACATATTGAAATCCTGGGCAGGGCGTGCCGAGGTAGTAAACAGAAAGCTGACGAACCTTTGCGGATTTCCCCTTTAAGTGGTCCAAGTCATAATATGGTCCAACCCTGTCCCACTGATAAGAGGAACACATTCACAAGACCCTGCAAGGGTCTCTGTTTCTGGCGCCGCCCCGCAGCGGAGCCCCAAAAACTCTTCCCGGAGGTCTGTTCTGTCCCGCCTCGAACTGTGTGCTGCTCCAGTGAGCCAGGTCAAAGGAAGGCATTTGGCACACAATGCCTTGCACCGCTGTCCCCCCGTGCTCCCGCCACGGCAGCCGTCCCTTCAGGTGACCGGATCCCGGGGGAGCGGATCACACGGAGCGGCGGGAAGAAACACCACGGACGGAGCGACGCACAGCGCGACCAAAAAAGGTCTGCAAATGGGGTCAGTGGAAGAGGATCAGTGGACGGGGAAGTGAATGTCAATGATCTGTCCGACTTTCTGACTCTGTCCGCTGCATTCTGCTTCTTTCTTTGGCCCCCTTGCCATTGCATTGGCCCATTGAAATGCCTCTTTCGGTTTGAAAGAGACCTTCACCTCAACATGCACCGCGCCCCCCTGGCATCCACCCTGGCATCCACCCTTTCTTGCAGCTTGAGGTACTGGTCAGAGAGCCGCTGCTCACGTTGCACACGCCTCGGGTCCAAACATCCACCACGCCGTACGTTGCACGCGTCGGTCTTCCGTACGTTGCAAGTGAGCTGGCAAGAATCTGCGAACCGGTGACCTGGCAGGTGTGACCTCTTTTGGGCAAAAAATAACAAGTCAATGTTCCCCCCAAACAAGTCCAAGAGAGTTCTCTCTCTCTCTCTCTCTCTCTCGCTCGGATCCCTTGAAACATCAACCCCCGACCCGCGCCGCGCCGCGCCTGCCATCTGGCCGATGAGGCTTCCACCATGATGGTAAAGAACCACGGAATTGCTCAAGCCTGCCGGGGTCAATCGGTTTGGCGTTTCAGCCGCACAAGTGGCGCATCGAATCGATCAAGCTGTGATGGTTTTTGGATCAACCTCTGAATCAGAGGCTGTTGGCTTGGCAAAGCACCAAGAGTTTGCATCCGAAGTCTTTGACAACACAAACACATCCAGTTGAGTTGTGGAGTTCCCACCCATGTCTCGCAGCCTCGCAGTTTTCTGGGAGTTCAACGCACAAAAGGTCTCAAAACATGGCCATCGGTTGCTTTTTCACGTCCAGCTCGCGGAGCACGGAGGTTGCGGAGGAAGGCGCCTGGGAGTTTGAAGCCACGTCCAGTGATCGTCACCTGCGTGCCGCCACGGGCGGGACAGTCCAGCTGGGGCTGGGCCGGGCTGGGGGATGCAGGCGAGATGCTGGGGAGGCGCAAAACCAGGACATATCATTGGATATCAGGTATCAATGGACTAGATATCATATGATATCATGGCATATGAGGCTATTTCATTCCACTCCTTCTTTCTTTTCACAGACACGCCCCTGCCCATCATGAACTCAGCAAACCGGTCCGGACGATCCCAGACAACTGAAGGTCTAAAGCCGAAACCGGGCTCCAAGCCGCTCGGAGGTCCCCCCCTCCCCTCGCAGACGGTGCCATCGCCCGCTTCAAAGCGGCGATGTGAGTGCTTCGAAGGACGCTGCCATCGCCAGAAACTCGCCTGGGCACCACCTTGCATGGATCCGGCATCAGGAGTGATTGCCGTGACCTGGCGGGTGGACGACAAATCGAATCAAACCGCAAAGAAAACCCACTCCAGAAATCGATAGCAAAACGGGAAGCTTTGGGACCTGTCTTGCAATTCTCTCGTCTGTCACCCCTCTCGGTGCAGAAACTGGACTTGTCGCCCAACGCCCTGCGTTGCCAGCGTTGCACTGCCTCGTTGAGATTATCGAACTGGATCATGAGTGTATCCTGGCGATGAGTTATTTGAAAGCTGGTGCAGGCTGCTGTGAGGTGATATACTGTAACATCTTATAGTTTAGGCCGAGGGCCTAAGGTGCAACACCGAGGGCCTAAGGTGCAATCACCACCACCACCGCCGCCGCCGCCACCACAACCACCACAACCACCACAACCACCACAACCACCACAACCAC